AATTAATTCAACTTGAAATAACTTAAAGATTTGGATAAATTAATCCATAAACAAGCGTCCCCAAGATATCGAGATTGTGGCAGCAAATAGGTACTTAAAACAATATAATTTGTGTTTATATGTTGAGTAAATTGTGTATAATTATATTAATAAAACTCACACAATTTGTAGAGAAAATGCCTCCATTTTTTACTTTCATCAACTACAATGGCGAGTGGCAAAGTGATGAAAATTATTCAGGTTACGAAGGTTACAGAATTATGCTTGGAGATGACCATACATTCAAGCAATTGTTAGAAGTCATCGCAGAAACAGTACAACTGGAAACACCATTTGACAGATTTATTTTGAAATACCAAGTTAACGACATGTACCCGCCAATAGCCATCACTGATGACCGAAGTTTCAATTTTTATAAAGGATTGAAAAAACGAGAAACCGAATGTACTCGCTACCCAATTTGTGTAAATCTGCAAAAAGAGAGCTCGATCCTTGCGCTTCCAAGTATAAAAAGAAAAACTGATGCAGCAACATACACAAACAGAATAGAGCCACTTCAATTGATGCCAAACTCAAAAAGTTACAATGAAATTGAGGAGTCGTCGCGTGTAAAGGATGTTGCAAAAAATTATCCTTTCACATTGGCAGTTTATGCAGAGGAAAAAATGCAAAAATTATGTCCAACAACTCAAAGTCACATATTTCAGAGGCAAACAACAACAATATGAGTCTCATTGTGAAGGGACAAACATATATGAACAAGACAGAGTTGAAACACAAAGTAAGCATGTACGCAATTGAATATCATTTACAGTTTGATGTTGTGAAATCTTGTCCAAAGCAGTACTCCATTAAATGCATTGATGGTACATGTCCTTTATTTATGAAAGCATCATATTGGTGAATCTTCATTATTCAAAGTACGTCAGATTAATGATATTCACTCATGTGCACTAGGAAAATGCATGAATGAAAAAATGACAAGCTAATGCAAGCTTAGCGGGAGAATGCATAAAACAAAGTTTGTTAATCTAAAGACGCACTATACACCAGGCAATGTAATTTGGGATATGCAACAACAGTACGGGGTTGATTTACCGTACAAAAGAGCATGGGAAGCAAGAAGAAAAACATTAGAATCTGCACAAGGCAACCCATATGGGTCTTACCAATTAATACTTGGATACCTTGAAGAGCTATGCAAGAGTAACCCGGGGTCAATCGTAAAGCTGCAAAAAACAACAGACAACATATTCAAATATGTTTTCATTGCACTTAAAGCATCAATCAAAGGATGGGAACATTCCCGACCATTACTTATTGTTGATGAAACTTTCCTAAAGTCTGTTTATGGAGGAACTCTTATAACAACAAGTACACATGACGCATCAGGCCACATATTGCCCCTAGCATACGGTGTTGTTGATTCCAAAAACAATAAAGCATATGAATGGTTTTGCAGCCACCTGAAAACAACTCTGTCAGAACGCGAAGGATTATTACAATATCAGATAGACATGCCTCAATAAAGCACGCCTTCGAAAAGGTAAACAATACAAACTGAAATTATGCATTTTTTATATATTTTATTAAAGTAAATAATAAATAAAAAATTAAAAAATTAAAAAATTGCTAGCTTGGGATGAGCTATAAACAGGGGGTTTTTTAGCAATAGAAATCGAAACTGGAATAGAAGAAAATGAAAATGTTAGAACATATAGAGCTAACACTATCTAAAAAAACATCAACAGTCGATATCAAGCCTTTAGCTCGGTAACGAGCCAAACTTCACAAGCAACCTTCAAGGATAAATATGAAAACGAAGAAAAGAAAAAGGGAATACATAAAGAATATGCATATTAAACCAGAAAAATGAGGTCTTAAAATAATCAATTCCTGATATTTCACAGTGACATAATTTGCATAATTTTCTAATTGTACACACAAAGATAACAATTTTATTCTAATCTACAGGTGATGACATTGTTATCTTCTCATTAAGACCAACAACCCTTAAGAATCTTGAATATAACATTAACAAATCAAACGCATAGAAACATACAAATGCATTACAAATACTAGTTGTGCAAAAAAAAGAGAAGAGAGAAAATTAAATACTAGTTGTGCAAAAAACAGAGTAAATGCATTATAAATACTAGTTGTGCAAAAAACCAGAGTAAATGCATTATAAATACTAGTTGTGCAAAAAGAGAGAAGAAGTTAAATAATATTTTTTATATTTTGTTATATAAATATTGAAAATTAAGATATTAAAATTTGACCTAAATTATTCAGGTCTTCGGAGAGGCAACACAGTGCAACAGCATCTACCATTTGTCGAAAAGCATGGTTACGAAATTTAAAACAAACACAGAGGCCGTAAAACAAGCATTCATGGCTGCAGCTCGATCATATACACATGACGAATTTGAGAAGCACGTGACTGCAATGAGGCATGTTGATAGTCGTGTAAACAAATATTTAGAAAAAGATGTTGGCTTTGAAAGGTTGTCGTGAATGCACTGCAAAGGAAACCATTTTTTAACCATGACATCAAATGTTGCTAAATCAATAAATTCAACCATGAAGGTTGCAAGAGAGATGCCAATAACTTTTCTACTTGAGAGTTTAAGAGGGATGCAACAAAAATGGAATGTTAAAAATAGGGAAGATGCAGAAAAGGCATTTACAAAACATGCAAAGCTGGGGAACAACATGCTGATAGAAAATTACAAAGCATCCATGCATCTATCAGTAAGTACACTATTCAACTACAATCATTTAAATAACAATATATACATAAATTATTTGTATTAACAAAATGCAGGTGCAAAAGGCAAGTGACACTATATACCGAATATCAAATGATACTCATAGAAACACCACTGCAAAACTATAATGAAATCTCTTATCTTATAATAAACAACAGACTTGTTGCTCAATTTCCCACAAGACAAATTCTCCTTGATGTTGACAATAAAATAGTAAAAAAATTCTTTTCCCAATGGATATACATCGCACTGATCACTATCAATAATGTCAAGATATGCTCGATCAACAGAAACATTTGGCTCATTTCCCATCAGATAGTTAACAAGTAAAAGTAACACAGCCAATTTCACTGCATCATGATCACTATCCCATTTTTGCAACAGAAAACGCATTTTTATAGTATCCCTTGTAAGCTTACCGAAAGAGGCAAAGTATTTATCAAATAACCCCCTTTTTTTCTATTCAAAGCCTAATTTTTTTTTCCTGGCTGGTACACTTCATACAATAAATTATTGTAAATTCACCAACATTAAACCTTAAAATCTTGCCACACATATCAAACCACAACTCATTAGAATTATGCAGATAAACTTTACGCAATAAAATAGAACTAATCAATTGGCACTGAACAACACAACGAGGCAAATCAACAAACTTCCCGAAACATGTAGCCCTAAAAAGATCAAGTTGAGAAGGAGACAACATGCTCCTAATTGATTCAATAATATCATATCGATTGAAATTAGGTAATTTGCAAACAAAACCCTTTGGCGCATTCATCAACAAATCCCATTCCGGAAAAGAAAAATGAAAAAAAGAATGTTAGAACCACAAATAATATATATCACTTTGTAACCGCACAGATACCTAGAATACAGTAAAATGAACCCAAAAAGACCTTCGTTTTGAAGAAAAACAATGTGAGCCATTATGAAGGGGCCACATGATTTTAAAAGTAAAATAAATCTGTGAGTTTAAAATTAAGTATACATAATTAAAAAGTAAGTATACATGTAAATACATAATCACATATAAATTTTACAAGTGAAACAAACATTCATGTAAATAACATAACAAACAGTTATTGAACAATATATATATATATATATATATATATATATATATATATATATATATTAAACTACTTCAATGAATTAATACCATAAAAAAGACATAATTGAAAAAATATTAATTAGAACACCAAAAAATAAAAAAAAAATAAAAAAATTAAAAAACCTTCAATTGCACGAAATCGTCGCCGTCTTTCAAATATGCTTCCCCTTACCATCCTTACCAACCATACCAGATTTAGAAGACCCCAACACACTTACCTCTCCCTGAACAACGAAATCCTTCAACTCGTTATTCTTTTTGTATTTCTTTGAAACTACCTCACAGTTGACCTTTCCTCTCATCTTTTATTTTGGATTTAACTCCTCTTTCTCACTATCAGACACAAAATCCAAATGAAATTCCTTATCAGATAAAGATTCAATGACTTTAGTTTCCCCAGACGGCTTAGAACTTTGACGCAACCTCTCGAACCTTTGTTTCTTCTTGCTTCTGCCATCACTGTCGTCGTCCAAGAAATCCACATATTCAATTAAATCTACAAAATCACTTTTCAATTTAGATTTGCAAACCCGAAATTGCCTTCGTTTTTCAACAGAAGACCTGGTTCTAACCATAGTTGATGAAGGAGAATAAGAAAAAAAAAATACACATAAAAGTTCAAATAGGACAAAAGAAAAAGATGACGACGAAAGGAAGAACAAAAAAAAAAAGAAAAAAAATCTAAAGACGAGGAAGGAAGACGAAGAACGTGAAATAATGATGAAAAGATATAAAATATCTTTATCGGGAACGCTAAAAAACTGAATTGGGAATCGGTACAAAAAAATTGACCCGTCCAATAATACGTAAAAAAAAAGTAAATATACAGGTAAAAGACATAAAAGAATGATATAAAAATACTTAAGAATTATGTATTGTATAAATATAAATAATTAACAAAATTAGACATAAGAGTAATTTTCTCAAACTAAAAGTGGCCAGAGGATGAAATCTAAGCCGTTAATTCAGTTAGTGTTCCCTCTATCATCATTCCCCGAACCTCAGCCAACCAAAATATCCTGTAATCAGCTAACGGGTGAGAAATTATTTTTACATTTTAATTCTTGCAACTCTTGATTCTCATTTATTTCTTCTTTTTTTTTTTCCACCTAACAATGTCCTTGTGCAGTCCACAGCTCCAGAAGTTCTCGGTGAGCAAGACTTGCAGCAAACGTGCTTGTAATAAAGCCTCAAAGAAAAGCCCAACAATAAAAAGCAGGAAGAACAGGATAGTTTGCTCGGCGATTGCAATAGACGCTGCAGGTTCGTTAGCGGGTGTGTCTGGAGTCAGATGGGGCTCGGTTCTGCTGAAGGGGGCCCGTGAAGAGATGGAGGACGATGTTGTGATTGTTCAGTCTGATGATCGGCTTGATGGGTTCTCTTATGCTGCAGTTTTTGATGGCCACGCTGGGTTCTCTTCTGTTGAGTTCCTCAGGTTCGTGTCTTAATTGTACGAATGTTTCGTCTTTGCCTTTGGGTTTGGTTTGTCTGAGTGTGGGACCAGCAAAAAATGGATCACTGTATTGAACTAGGTGTTCATTTGACAATGGTGCTTTCGTGCAAAGATGTTGGATTTAATTATATCTTCCGGTTATTTGTTTCAACATTGAAGTATTTGAATCTTTTGTTTTCTAGTATGGGGGGTACAAGTTTCTTCCATTTATCCACATTTGAGGATCACCAAAATCTAATGCCATATGATCCAAATTACATTGTGTTATTGGATTCCACTATGGAGAGTGTGCAAACACTTTCAATAGAAGGAAGAAAGGGAAAAAGTGATAGTAGCTTTGGCCGAGAAATAGAAAAACGAAAACAAGACCAATGCTTTAGATTCTAATTCTAATTCTCCTTAGATACTTACATGAAAGTTATACACTTCTACTATTTATTCATGCCAAAACTCATGATTTTCGGCTCTTTTTTGTTCCTATAACAGACCCACTCTGTATAAACAGCAACTTTTGGGTCTACACTCAAATATATTTCTGCTTTTCTGTCTACTATCTTTTTTGCTCCGCTATTTTTTTCCTGAGTACGTGCTTGTGTGTATGTGTGTGTGAGAGAGAGAAATGTTGAAATTCATTTGTACAATGTGAAGATCATGAGTAATTCTTTACTGTAGGGAAGAACTATATAGAGAATGTGTTGCTGCATTGCAAAGTGGGCAGCTATTGAATGGGAAGGACTTCAAAGCAATCAAGGAAGCACTTCAAGACGCCTTCAAAAGTGCGGATGCAAAACTCTTAAAATGGTAACCACTCTGTCAAATTCTTGTTGGACACCATCTGTTTCGACAAAAAAGTGTAAATAGTCTCAATATGATATTAAATAAATTGTATTGAAGGTTTTATTTTGTAAAAGGCTTGAGTCGAGCGGGGAAGAGGATGAATCTGGTTCGACTGCCACTGCCATTTTCATCCGTGATGATTTGTTGTACATATCTCATGTTGGTGACTCATGTGTGGTATGGTTTATTACACCGTGATTTTCGAGTATATTTTATGATTTCCTATGTACTCTTAATTAGAAAAACTATTCTTCTTTCTGGATAGTTTAATAAAGAGAAAAAAAAAAAGAGAGAGACTTGGGGTTAATTACCAAAGGAATCCCTCGAAGGTTTATCAAGGTTGGAAGATAAATAAATAAAACATTGTAATTTGATTTTGTATTACACTTTACCTTCTACATATACAACAATATATTGGAAAAGCCCCTTTACATTTTTGAAATAGTTACAGTTGCCCCCTTATATTTCACATAGAATCAGATCTCAATGGATATATATTTTTTCTTATAAACCTCAAAAGTTTTTCTTTCCCTTTCTTTTTGGGTTAGTGCACCCCCACCCCCCTCTTTTGGTCTCTCTTTCAGGGCTTATTAATAGATATAGTCAGAATGAGATATTTTTAGCAAGAATGCATTTCATTGTTTTAACTTCACTCGAATGAATTAAGGTACTTTCGCATGCTGGAAATGCTGAAGTCTTGACCGATTCTCATCGACCGTATGGGAGCAAGAATGTTTCTCTAGAAGAAGTCAAGCGGATTAGAAAAGCTGGTGGATGGGTGTGTTTTCACCTTACCTTGTTACTCTCAAAATTCATTTTATATGTTGTTATAAACTCTGGTTGCCTTTAGTTTGCAAACCTTTTATTAACGACCCCATATAGCCACATTCTTGAGGCAGTCATTTTGGCGATACATCTTAGCAACTGCAGTGCTTCTTTTTGGTGTTCTCTGATTGAACTGAAATTGGAATAATTATAAAAATCATTCTTTAGGCTTAGCATAGAACAAAAGGTTCAGTTATCTCCTAAATTACAAAAATGTTTGTGACCAGTCTTGATTTTGCAAAATTGCATGGAACACAAACTTCAAAGGGGTGTTTTTAACACTCCTCGGTAACTTTTGTTCTTGTCCATAATAATTTTCAGCACAAATGAATTGTGTATCATAATATTTAATTGAACAGTGGCTGATCTGGTTTTATATATGCAGATTGTAAATGGAAGGATTTGCGGAGACATATCAGTGTCACGTGCTTTTGGCGACATACGATTTAAGAACAAGAAGAATGAGTAAGGCCTTCTCTCACTTTTTTTTTTTTTTTTTTTTTTTTTTTTTTTTTTTGAGCTTTCACAAATACACTGATTCCATCACCAGTTTTATTGTTTAAACTGCTTCGTTTTTATGGGAAGCATGGTCAAGAGAGGAGTCAAGGAAGGTCGATGGTCTCAAAAATTTGCTTCTCGGTATGTAAAGATGTTATAATCAGGCTCCAATATCTTTCATGAATTTAAAAATCATTGCGTACTAGACTAAAATGTTACGCGGTGGTCTGAAAAATGACACCTAGAGCTTGCTCAAATGAGATTCCTGTCGGTTAATTGCTTTATTTGGGAATATTTTAGACTGTTGCTAAATATTTTTGGCTATATTATGGCTTCTTCATTTTCTTTTTTTCAGCGTACAACTGAAGGGAGACTTGGTTACTGCACATCCTGATGTTTTTCATACTTCTCTTGGATCAGATGCTGAGTTCATAGTTTTGGCATCTGATGGATTGTGGGATTATGTAAACAGGTAAAACATTCATGGTTTTGTTGATAATCATTTGAAATTTGGACTAATTCTGAGAAGCACATTTATCTTTGAAACAATTATGAACAACTAACCTGCGAGGTATAGCCGGATTTTCTGTAATAAGGTTGAGATGTGTAAGTAACCTTTTTTTTCTTTCTTTTTGATATTTACCTACTACAATCTTTGAAGTTCTCCATTCTTTCAGCTTGAATGCTGTTAAATTTATCAGAAATCACCTTCGACAATATGGAGATGTTCAGGTAAGAAATGAACCATTCTCTATCTCGGTAATACTTAATTAATAAAGAAATTACGTAATTTTCATATTCTTTTTGCTTAGATGGCTTCGGAAGCCCTTGCGCAAATGGCCCTGGTAATAATATATCATACAATCTTCATATTTCCCATTTCCATTCCTTAGGCAATAAAGTTGATTTCTTTTATGATCAAAAATCTCTTTTGCAGAATCAAGGCTCTCAAGATAACATTAGCATTGTTATTGCCGATCTCGGGTATATACACTTATTGTTTTTTGTTTATTTATTTTAAAATTATCCTTTTCGAGTTTCAGTAGTGATGCTTTCTGTATTGTAGATGTGAAAATTAAGATTTCTAGTTCTGGGAAAGAAATATATGCTGTTAAAATGATTGGTTTTCAGGTTTCTCATTTTGCATCTCATTTTATGTTTGTTAAAATGATTAAGTAGTTTCACAAATTATTCAGGCATCCTCACACTCCTTGTGCAAAGAATTTCATTCAACTTGTGATTTTCGGCTGGCTTTAGCTTGTTCTGCCTGTAAATTGTCTCATAGAAACTGATTTTTTTGTCGGCCTTCTCTGAATTATTTTTTTTTTTTTTTTTTTTTTTTTT